GAAAGAGTGGGAGCCTATTTCCACAAGTCATCAATGGCCCCATTGCCTCTAGGGAAGAGGGATGATTCCTTGTTTCCAGTCCATGTACCAGCAGTGTGCATTTATTTATGTACCTGTGCTGAATGCAGGGACTGGATCTCAAGGCTCCCTCAACACAGATGTGATAGTATGACATCTTAACAGGAAAGTTGGTTTCTCTTCTCTGTCTCTCTGTTTTGTTTGAACATTCTACTAATTTGTTCTGTTATTTTTGAAGGTTTTTACCATTCCTGTGAACACTTACTTATCCAAAACCACTCATTGACTGTAGTGGAACCATACATGTGTTTCCAATGTTTACAGGCATAAATAGTTGCAAGATTAAGGTTATAATCACTTTTTTTTTTGAACAGAGAAAGCTCTTTTTTTTGTTGGCATACAATTATTTTGTATGAGCATTTCTAAGTAACAGCAGAAGCAGAAATGTAATTAAACTATTACTTTCTAAGCTTGCATTGCATGTTTTAATATCACCTGTTTTGCACTGTGGATTTTGAAATGTGTTTGAACATGAAATAGTCATGCTGGCACTGTATGATACTGTATTTTCATCGTTGTGCATCATGTTAATTGTATTTATTTAATACACTTGCCACAGGTCTCCAGTACTTTAAAAATGTTGTGTTGGTGGCCTCACCCCAAGACAGATATGTACCTTTCCACTCAGCAAGAATAGAAATGTGCAAAAATGCACTTAAGGACAGACACACAGGTATGTTTAAGAACCTTTCTTTGTTTACAAAGCTGTTGAAGAATACTGGTTTTGTGTAACTGGGGTCATTGCATTGGAAAGGTTTTTCATCAATGTGATGAGAACTCAAATGTTTATTTGATAAGGAATAAAGTGTTCTCTTCCCACAGGAAATCACTGAAATAGATAAGCTTTTTGAGATCCTCTTTGTCTGCTGAAAACAAATTTCAGTCGGGTCACAATCAAAGGTTTCTTACTGCTTCTTTCCTTTCCCTCTAATTTCATTTCTTTTTTGAAGTAATGATAATAGAACAGGCTCTTGACAATGTTTTTCTGTAGTCTGCTGTTGTACTAGCCTCATCTCACCTCACCTTTGTTTCACATAATGAAATCTGCCTCAGCACATCCAAAGTTGGGGGATTTTCCCTTTGTTTTCAACAGTGTTTGAATGACTGCCAGGTAATTATAAGGGACATGTCTAAAATCATATTAATTTGTAATAAAATTTGGACACTGGGACTCACACCGTCAGAGACATGTCTTTGTGTGAACTCAGGCTGTGTATTGTCCCAGGTATTGCCTTTGTTATTAGCAGTGTCCCTCATTTATGAAGTATTTCATGGCTTCAGTTTGATACTACTTCCAGAAATAATGTCCACTGTCATTTCATACCTGTATCACATGTGTAATTACCTAGAACTGGAGGTACACTTTGAAGGTAAAAAGAGACACCTAGGGCCAAAAATCAACATGATTGTTTTCATGCATTTTGCCCAAATTATGGCTCTTTCTATCCTACCTCAAGTATTAATTAAAGGCAATTTTCTACCTCCATCTTCCAGTGGTTGTTTCTCAGGGAGATGTTCAACCTAGCAGGAGATGGATCCACATTCGAGTGGATCATTTACAAGCACAAGTTTCCTGAGCCTTTGTTTTTGCCCTGTAAACTCCTCAACAATCTGCATGGTGTCCATCCTGGATTAGATTACCCAGAGAAACCCAGATGGACCTCTCTGTCTTGCCAGACCCTTTTACATTTGAATTCACAGGCAGTGTGGTCCAACCCTCTTCCCCTGAAAGAAATGAGACCTTTTCCTTCCACCACAGAGGAAATGAGACCAAATGCTGAGGAGCGTCTCACTTTCCATGCTAGCAGCTTCAGCAGACCTCTTCAGATGACCAGTGCCTTCATCAGGTCAACAGCATCCAGGCACTTGGCAAACCTTTGAAGTGGACTGTTACCACCTGCATTTTGGCCTTGTGTCTTCATTACAACTCTAATTAAGTGATATTGAAAGGAAAGGGGAAATCTGGCAGCTTTGGCATGTAGGTGTGACATCTAAACTCTTTTGCAGGTCCCGTGTATGCAGAAATGATTAACAACCTACTGCAGCCTCTGATTGAGGCAAAGGACTGCACTTTGATCAGACACAACGTGTTCCATGCTCTGCCAAACACCGCCAACACGCTGATAGGCCGGGCTGCCCACATCGCCGTGCTGGACTCCGAACTTTTCCTGGAGAAGTTTTTCCTCGTGGCAGGACTCAACTACTTTAAATAGTGCCTGAAGTAGGGGGTAACAGAGGCAAACCTTGTCACCGAGTGGAGGAGAATCCCTTAGCCAAAAGACTGCAGTGTTAGAAATGAGATCAGGTGGGACTTTCAAACTCTCCATTTCCATTTCTGTTTCAGAGAATAAAGTGCTATGGCTTTAAGGCATTCAAGCTTCCAAATATTGGTGCTTTTGGAAGAAATAAATATTCCTCTTCGGTTTCTATGTTCTTTGTCCACATAAAGACATCAACCACTTCTAAAGTGGTTCAGAATCAGAATAAGAAGGCTAATTCTTTAAATGTTATTGGACCAATATGGTTCCCATTTCTCCTGAATATTAACCCAGGAACTCACCTGTCCTTGATTTAATACGTATTTATGTATTAACAAACCTATACACTTGTAGCACTTTTGGGATAGTTAACACAAGAGGAAGCAAGCATATGTGAACTCAGGTTAAAACCTCCTTTGTGATGAACTGGGAATTCTAAAAAAACATTTAAGAAAATTTCCATATTTCAGTTTCTTGAAAGAATATATTTAAATGGTTCCATTGCTAGTAATAATTTGTAACATAAATGCATTCAAAGAATGGAAAGGAAATATTTAACACAGAATGAAGAAATCTTGATATTTGTCTTTTTTTTAAGAAAAAAAAAAAAAAACAAACCCAATTTTAAGCTGGGAAGAATTTTTTTCGTGTTGGAAGCTGCCAAGCCGAGAAGAGTTTATTGGATTACTTGTAAGATATCAGTGGCATCTGTTAATATTTCTTCTGTTTACATTTATAGAAAATCATTATTGTGCTTGTTATAACCTAAGAGGTTCAATTTTTACTTTTACATTTGTATCTAAGTACATTTACCCCAACAAAATTTTTATTTTTTTAAAATTTATTACTCTGATATGAAATTCAAAACCTATCCAGTAATACCCCTAAAAACGCCAATCATACGAAAATAGGCTGGAGACATAGAATGGTGTAAGGGTTGTGGAAAGCTTGGAAAGAAGACCATGAAAGTCTTCTTAGGCTCCTCTGTAATGTTCTGTTAATGCTTTACCAGTGACCATTTACAGTGTTATGTACAGTCCTATTACATGGTTACAACCAGCTGAAACATTTAAAACTTTATTCATACAATGATACCCAGGTTGTTTTTATGGGTTTGTTAAAGAACTCATTTTTCACTTTTAAAAAAAATTAGTTTTTCATTAAATTTTTTATCAAAAGTTATCAGATCTAAATTGACAAATTTCAATTAACTTTCTATACATTTTCATAACATTTTGTTAAATTTTCAATGTCACAGCAGTTTTTTTCAAAAAAGAAAAAGTGAATAATCCCTTTCAATTATTTTTGTTTGGAAGACAATTTTTTTAACACAAATATAATTTATTTAAAAACGGAAGTGACCAGGCCTTTCTATCTTTTGACCAAAACTATAACAAAATGTCAAAGCTTCTTTCAGGTGCCAAGACTCCCCAGTAAATTAAGATGAAGACAGTGAAAACTTCTGAAATAAGAGATATACAAAATTAAAAAAAAAAACAAAAACAAACAACCAAAACACCCACCCTCACAACCACAGGAAAATATTCGTATATTGAAAAGTAAAACTATCTTCTTTTTTTTAAAAGAAGAAAAGTGGAAAACCTTCTCGGAATTACATTGAGAAAAGAGTTGCTATCAGACTGGTAAAGGCTCCTAAAGAATAAGGGTAGTTTGATAATGTAGGCAAATTTTTAAAATAGGAAGGAGAAAGGAGGACTATACAGAAGGGTGAGATTAAGATCACCTGAAAATAGGAAGGTATATTGCACCTAAAAATCATGTGCCCCTCAAAGAAGCAGAAATTATACAGGAACAGTTGCATGGTGTCCTTCAACACTGACAAGTTTTTTAAACATTACATATTACCTTAGTATTTGAATTAAATAGGTAAATACTATTTCCCCCCCACACACCTCCTTTTATGAACTGCTGGTTTAAAGCTAAGAACCAGATTCACCCACTTAACAAACAATTTCTGCCAGGAATCAAAGAACTTCTGGTTCCCACTTCTTCTTTGGGAAGTCTTGATTACATTTTGGCCTCAACATTTTAGTGCCACCTACATTTACGTATCATAGCTTCCTTTCTTTCTTGATAAAGTGTTTACAAAATTTTAACTATAATGGGACATGCAGAATAAGCTGTTAGTGCAATAGTTTTGAGCCACAGACGTGGACTTCTAAGGAGCATGTGAAAAAACAAGAAGGAAGAGCTATCTCCAACCATCAGCAAGCTTCGTTGTGCTGTATGAGTGTTTTCTCTGCTTTTAGAAAACATTCAGGAACCTGCCAACTCCTGAAGATTTTGAGAAATATTAAAAGAGGTTAGTTTACATATATCTACATGTTTATTGTACATGTGTGTATATCTGTATACAGTCTGTACAAAGAAGTGCAGTTGTTTCAATTTCTCACTCACCAGTTTTTGCAATCCTGAGTATTCTAAGTCTGAAAACATACCAGTGTAGCTGTTCTAATGCTCAGACTGGTGATGTCTTGCCTTGCCTTTTACATTAGACAGCATTCCCAGCCTTCTGTTTGATTGTGAGATAAGGGAAAAGTGAAAATGTCTCTTTTGGATTGCTCCAGAACTTGGTGGGCCTTTCATTATGTTCACTTCCAATTTCTATACTGTTACCAGTACTATAATTGACAGAGAAACACACGTAAAATTTTCCATGTTCCTATGCATATAATATTCTTCCATGGCTCAGAGTGATTTCTGAATTGGAGTGAGTTGGATTAGGTCCACACAACTTGGTCTTTGTGGGGTATGGCAGAGAGCATCTCTGGAGCCTCAGAAAAATCTATGAGATGTCATTCCCATGAAATGATGAGACATATTTTATCTTTGTTATGCTGGCAGAAGATTGTGAGAAATATTGACAGTAATGGTCCAGCTGAGCATCTATTTTAAGGTTCTCAGACAAGCCTCCCTATCTTTTTCTTCTTTTGAATGGGATGGTGCCTTTATGATAACTCTCAATTTGATAAATCTACTCTGTACACTATTTGCAAAGAAATCTTCATTGTTGTTATCATAGAAATAACATCTAAGTGGTTGGACCTTATCAAAATATATCAATCAACATGGACTTATTTTCATCTTTTTTTTTCTCTTATACATAGAGAGTTCTGTATTAAAAATTATCTTCATAACAAATAGCAAAATAACTGCACAGTTGGCATCTTCATTTCTATCTTGACCTTTGTTTTGTCCTTTCACATAGTTTTTTTAAATACATTTAGGTACATTAGCAGTATTGCTACAAGGATTTCCCTTCAAACTGGACAAGCTTCTCTTGACTTGATATATCTAGGGGTGTAATGCTAAAATTCTTAAGTGGAGCTCTCACATTCACAGAGGATAAGACAGTTTTTCAAGAACTTAGAGGAGGGCAACCACTGAATTTTTGTAGGTTGTCAGTGCTCAGAGCCAGCTCTGGGCTTAGTGTTAGCTGTGTTTGAAGTGAAACTCCCTTCACTTCTGGGAGATTCTTTAGTTAAGGAAAAAAAACCCAAATCTAGCAATGCAAGGATGTTTCTGTAGTGTCTAGATGTCTTATAGGCAGCATGGAGGATCTCCTGGCTCCAACAGGTAAAGTGCATTTGGGTACTGATGTTTTCCAGGGTTAAAGATGAAGCATTTCAGGGCTATAACCCTGATGAGTAAGTTTTTTGAAAGAAAGGTGCTAGGTCATGTGTAGAAAAAGAGCAGCAAAGAAAGATGATTTCAGGGCTTTGAAGGAGAGGGGCAAAGACTAAGGGGAGGAAGGAAGACAGGAAGGTGGACTAGCAAGGTTGAATTTCATAGTATGGTTTGGATTGAAAGGACCCTTTAAAGATCATCTAGTCCAAACCCCCTGCCATGATCAACCATCAGGTTGATCAAAGCCCCATCCAGCCTGACCTAGAGCACTTCCAGTGATGAGACATCCACAACTTCTTTGGGTAACCTGCTCCAGTGTCTTGCTACCTTCTTTATAATGGACTTTTTTTCTTTTTTTTTTTTTTTTTACAATAAATTGAAAAACTCAGCACAGAGTAGTATCACCTCACTTATCTGTAGGCAATTGTAGTGTAGGCGTTTGCCTGTGGCCTAACGGGGGAAATTTAACTTCTTTTATGATCTGTGGAAGAAAAGATGCACTTTTACACTGTGATTTATTTTACTTTTCTGGTCCAGTTTTCTCTAGGCCTGTTATTTTCCACTGACTGTGCAGGATAACAGACTTAGCTATCTACTTACTTGACATTTACCCTTGATCAGACAAATCCCACACACTGCTGGAACTCCTATGGGACTGTATCCCCACCTCAAATGCCAAAATAAGGGATACTGTGCTTTCAAATAACATCTGGTCCTTGAAGCCATTTGCTTTTCAGTGATAGTTATCTAGTCTGGAATGGCACAGCAATTGTAGAAGAAAGAACAACACAAACTTATCCAGTTTTGTTGCTAAGTTCATAGAAAGACATAATGAAAGGACATAAAAATGCCTTCACTTGCTTTCAATCTCTATTTCATCTTTAAATAAAAATAATATATAAGCAGCCTATAGCATTTAAAAGGATTGACATTAACTTTCAAAAACATTGAAGCAGTTGAAAACACTGTGGTTACATTCAGTGGATGTCATGCCTTTATTAATAGCTGGATGAATTTTTTTCTTCCCCACTACTTTGGGGTTCCTAGAGCTCATTGAGCTCCACTTTTGAAAAAAAATTAATCTCTTCTGAAATAGAAGATTTGCATATGGATGGAAAGAAATTGCAGTAGCAAATAAGAGTGAGTAGATGAAGGACACAGGAGCTTGTTCTTTCTGCAGCTGGGCTGGGGATTTTCAAGGGAGTGGTTTTCAATCTTCTGATCATGGTTGGATGCTGACCTGCATAAAATCTGGAGAAACCTCTGGAGATGTTTCTATTTCAAGGATAGAATTTAACCTGTTTAAT